TCTCTGTCTCTCTCACTCTCACTCTCTCACTCTCTCTCTCTCTCACTCTCTCTCTCACTCTCTCTCACTCTCTCTACTCACTCTCTCTCTCACTCTCTCTCACTCTCACTCTCTCTCTCTCACTCACTCTCTCTCTCTCTCTCTCTCTCTCTCTTTCTTTTTTTAGTATTTTAATATTTTCTGACTGGATAAGTGAAACTGCAAATACTGATACAGCTGTATTGTAATGTGAAAATACTATTTTTCTTGCAGATTTCATCTGTGTAGGAAGTCGTACATCCTTTAATGCAACTACTTTGACTAACAAAGGTGTAAATGTTCTATATTCCTAGCTTGCCATCAGAAGAACAACACTCAGTAGGACCTTTACACCTGTGCTGGTTGGAAGTGCTCTGAAGAACAAAGGTGTGCAGCCTTTGTTGGATGCTGTTTTAGAATACCTTCCAAACCCATCGGAAGTGCAGAACTATGCCCTTTTGAACCAGAAGTGAGTATGAATGATGGAAAACATGAAAAGCAAATGTAGAATATTACTATTTGCTGTCCAGTGCTACCATTTCTTGAAACGGAAAGGTCAACAAGAAGAGAGGAATGCAATTGCAAATTTCCAGGACAAGCACTATTATTCTATACAAGCTTGCTTTGGAGTACACTCCACTGAAATAAGGGGGACTTTCCTGCTGCATTAAAAAGTCTTACTTACTCTGTATTACCAAATATAAATCCCTTTTAAGGAAAGCCCTTATCCAAATATCTAGACATGGTAACTTAGTGTTCCCATAAACAAAGCACTGTTGCTCATTTTCAGAACTTGCTTCTTCACTTAATTTGGGGATTCCTAATGATACCGGTTGCAGAAAAAAACTAGAGCCGCTGTGGCTTTTTAAAAAAGAGGGGAGAGGGGAGAAAAGGAAAGGAAAAAAAATGTAAGACCCATGTAAAACAAGACGCATATTTAGCAAACATTTGTCGCCTTTCCTTGTCTGTGGTGGCTCTTGAAAGGAAAGCCTTGTTGATTTCATTCAGGAATTTGAACCAGGTACTATAAACTTTGGAACATTGGTTGCCATTGGTCTCAGTGATGAATGATACAAAAGGTTTTCATCTGTAGTTTAAATTTGAGATATTTAATTTAACCATACATTAATTTAAAGTGTGAAAGCTATATTTGAACATACAATTTGTCTCCATTAAGTTTTTGCAGGCCAGTAGGTATTCCATCTCTTGTATCGTTTTTCAGATGCTGCTGTGTAGGGATGGCTGGAGACAGATGAAGGCTCACCTTTGGATAGGTGATATGTAAAAGAGACATTGTTGCTTGTAGTTAGGGTGTTCCTCTCACTGTCATGTCTGGCAAACTAGCTTTATGAGCATTTATGGTGCTTTGAACCCCTACAAGCATTATTTGACCAAAGACAACACAAGGAAATTAATACACTTCCACAATCTCGGCAACAGTAATTCTGTCATATCATCTTTATAATTCTTAGAATACTATTATCTGCCTTTATGACAAGGTTAGGTGATGCTCTAGATGTGAGAGATCATGGAAGCTGCGGTCCAGTGTCTGGAAGCCACGTTTCCCATACTTACTGTACAGATCCAGTACAGCAGGACTATGGAGGAAGAGAATGATTGTCTAGTCGCGCTGGCGAAGTGACCACGGAAGATTGGACAAACGCTAGCTTCTAGTCGCGCTGGCGATGTGACCACGGAAGACTGGACAAACGCTAACTTATGAGTTGGAAATGGGGATGAGCACCGCCCCCTTGAGTCGGACACGACTGGACAAATTGTCAAGGGGAACCTTTACCTACTGTACTTTATCTGCATCTAAACTGCTTTAATTCAATTATGTTTTAACATTGTGAGTTATTTGGTTGTGTTTCATGTTTTTATTCATACCTTTTCTAAGTGAATCTTGCAAGGACCTCTTCAGTGGCAGTCAAGGATGGGTAGGTGAATGGAGGGGGGGCGGGGGCAAGCAAGCACAAGACCTGACTGATAGGTCTGCATTTCCTGTGTGGTTTTTTTCCCCCTGTTGAGGATGTTCATAAGACTCAGCTGTACAAGACAACTCCACAGAACAGATTGCTACCCGTTGTTAAAAGGTGTGATTGTAAACTAAACTTTTGTTTTCTTCAAGGAATTCGGAGGAAAAGAAGAAGATATTGCTTGATCCTGTTAGAGACGATTCCATGCCTTTTGTAGGCTTGGCATTTAAACTTGAGGTTAGTTTATTTCTACTTTTTTAAGAGCTCCTGAATTAATGGGCAGTAGCTCCTTGGCAGCTGAAGAAGAGGTTGCCAGTAGTGACGCTTGGTCATGCATCTCAGGTTATGTTTTACACTGATGCTCTTTTGGTATCTCTGGTCCTCTTAACTCATTGGTGCTGAGGACTTTCGGCATCACGCCTTCCACCTTTTCTACTTACGCAACCCCCTTTAAACAAAAATTTAAATACATAATTTAAAATTAAAAATAAACATGAACACATTGTAGGTTTTTAAAAGAATAACAATAAGCAGTTTTTCATGAAAAAAACTAATATAAACAGATAGAAGTTGTAGGTTTTTCGGGCTGTTTGGCCATGTTCTGGAGGTTTTTCTTCTTAATGTTTCACCATTCTGTGTGGCCAGCATCTTCAGAGGATGGGAGTTAGAACTCCGTCTGTGTTCTGGTGTAGTGTGTGGGATAGCTGATTTGTTTGGTCCCAATACTGGGACCACAAAATGGAGCATCCACACCAGAATCAAAGAACATGAAAGACACTGCAGATTTAAACAACCAGAAAAATCGGCAGTAGCTGAAGATGCCCTGAAACAAGCTGGGCATGAAATCCTATTTCAAAACACAAGTTCTGGACGACACCAGCAATCATTATGTTAGACTACACAGGGAAGCCATTGAAATTCACAAACACCAGCACAGCTTCAACAAAAAAAGAAGAAAGTCTAAAACTCAACAAAGCCTGGCTCCTGGCACAAAAATGCAGCCTACAAAAAGGTCAACGAACTCTACCCAGCCACAAGGACTGGTGATTACTGCACACAAAAGACTAGCTAACAACACCCATCAATCACAATGAGAAATAATATCTCCCTATTATCACAACAATACACTCATAACAAAAAATACCCTGATCACCTAATCTCCTGAAAAGGACAAAAAGCTGATCCCGCAGCTGCAAATACCATACTCAACTGTCGGATCCCAGCCGTGAAAGCCTTCAAGAATACAATATAACAGATTTTTTATTTTTTATTTTTTGCTGGAAAAGATAATGCTATTGAAAATCTCAGTCTCTTGCCCTCCTCCTAATTTTTTCATGCACCTCCCAGTTTGGGAAGCATTGTTTTAACTTTTTTGGGTCTCTTGCAATATATAACCTGCTGGTTTCTGCCACTTGCAGGCTGGGCGGTTTGGACAGCTCACATACATTCGTGTTTACCAGGGGATGCTAAGGAAAAGTGAATCCATCTACAACACCAGGACTGGGAAGAAGGTGCGGGTGCAGAGACTTGTCCGCTTGCATGCAGATACAATGGAGGTGAGTGTGAGAACAGAAATGAATATGTGTTGTGTAGTATTGCAAATGAAGTTGCTTTTAACCAGAAGAGAATACACCATTTGTATTCAGTCTGGATCAGTGCATTCATCTAAAAGACGAAGACCTAATCAAATGGAGGTGGTAAGGGTAAAGTTATTTGCATATTTTTTGTTTCTATAGTGTGTTACTCCTATTTTTCCCTTTCTCAGTAAAATTCATTCATTCTGTTTTCCATATATAACCTCCTTTTGCCTATAGTACAAGTAGCTGGAACCGTATAAATTGGATGTGGTCTGGTTCTCTGGCAATTGCCTTCTGGTCCCTTGGTTCACCTTTTCATCATAAGGACACTTCTTCCGAGTTGTCGCTCCCTGTGTATTGAGACGCATGCAGAAGGCTTCCTATAACATCAACAGTCCCAGATACTCTTATCTTGCTCTTTACGAAACAGGATTCAGAAGATGAAGAGCATAAGAAAGAGCTATTGCTGTAAACGTAGTGCAAGGAATGCATTTTACTTGAAAAGAGTGGCCAGCTTGCTTTGCGCATGTTCTGCTTGCTCTTTCATGCTGGGAAGAAGTGGGTTAAAGAGCCTTTGTCTGTTAGTTTGGAAGCCACTTAGTAGGTGGAATCATCATTGTTGATTAATCAGGGGTAGAACAACTCTCAAAAGGTCAAATAATACAACTCCCTAACAGTGTATGAAATGCATTCCTGAAAGTTGGTCAACCAGCTTCTGCTTTAAAGCCTTCAGGGCAGCTCCCACTTTCCAATGCCTTTCCACTATACAAAATATGATATTTTTTACCAGCCAGCATTATGTAGGCTCAGAGAAGCTATATTTCAGTAAACTGTCCTGAGTTATCCCATTTTGCCCTGACTGTTCTTCCTTTCTGTTTAAAAATGATTTTGCCAGTGGAAGCAACTCCTCGGTCCATCAGCCTGCCCTTTCTTCCTCCCTCACAATAATACAGAAGCCTGACTCTGGATAATCCAGATCAATAACCCCATGGCCGTAAAAAATGCCTAAATGTTAACTCATTGTGGATATCCTTTGATGTTTAGGCATCATCAGCAAAACTAGTGGTTATTTAGTGTAGTGGTTCCTAATCTTGGGTCATCTAGGTGTTCTTGGACTACAATATCCCATAGTCTTCACCACCAGCTGTGCTGACCGGGGTTTATGGGAGTTGCAATCCAAGAACACCTGAGTTACTGACGATTGAGAACTTCTGCTTCCATGTGATTTGTTAGAATAAGACATGTCTCTTAATTATTATTATTATTTGTTTATTTTTGGCCTAGTTCACCTTGAGGAGTTAATTTTGGCTCAGAAATTGTGAGTAGAAAAAATTAAATATCCTGAAGTGCTTTATCCCTTCTATCAGCACCTGTCTGTCTGTCTATCTGGCAGATTGCTCATCCCTTGCACTTCACTCCTGTCCCTTTTTATTTAACTAGCTGATCCCATACATTGATTCTCATAGCAGAAAAAGCTGAGTGTCTAAGCCTGACAGGTGGCTTTGACTTTTTACTTTGCATACAACAAACTGCAGTACAAATGCAGCAGTTGACTAGTGAGTTGCTCTGAGAATAACAGACAGCACACTTCTATAACAGCCTGAAGGACCCAGTTGTAAAGAAGGTTATGCTATTTAGCAGTGAATCTGTGAAGCTGTTAATAGGACAGCCAAGACCTTTACGATACCACTCATTTCCGGGAGGAACAATAACTGGGACATGCTGCACCTATTTCTTTTGTTAGAAGTTCTAAGATATGTTTTATATTTGTGAGTTTTACATACATGCTAAGTTTATTAATTTTAAACTGTGCCTTTGGGTTAGGCCTTTTGTCTGACAATGCCCCCATTTAAGCATTATGTGTAAACCAGTTAGGCTTGAAGCATGATGGTGACAGCATTTTTAAAAATACTGTTTGTTTTGCTAGGATGTGAATGAAGTTTATGCAGGTGACATCTGTGCATTGTTTGGCATTGATTGTGCTAGCGGTGATACCTTTCTAAATACATCTAGCAGTGACCTTTCCATGGTAAGTTTTTTCTTAGTTTACTTATTTAGCTGCCGCAGTTTAATCTTGGTTTAGGGTGAAATTCATCATTACACAAGTGAAAGATCCCTGCCTAATCATTTCCATTCAGTTCAGTGGATTTCATCCATCAATTTTTCTCCTCAATCAGAATATCATATTTATAAAGGTTTTTTTAAAAATAAGGGTATTCATTTGTAGACTCTTCTAGTTGTTCCAAAATTTTACAAACCTGGGGCATAATAGTAAATAAATCAGAAGTTCTCAAACTTTTTCAGGTCATATAATAGACAAGTAACCTATGCCACCTCTCCTGCCATGTTTGCATAAAATAGCATTTTTAATGCGGTAAAGTCATCTCTTCTCAGAAAGTAGAATCTTCTTTCTATCCCAGAGGGGCTGTTTCTCATACATACACATACATGCTGACTTAAATATCCCACCCCAAAAGGTCAAGGAAGAATTTATTTAACAAGGGCTGTAGCACATATTCGGTGACCTGTGACTGCACAGAAAACATCTGGTGGCCCCCTTGGGAGTCATGACCCTCAGATTGGAAAATACTGAAATAAATGTATAGTCATAACATTTCTACCATTTGTTGAAGTGAAAAGGTATAATCACAAATGAATATCCCTGTGTATTATTTTCTTTGTGAGTGTTTAGGAATTAGATTCCATTATGTACTGTATAAAACTTTGTCTACAGTTCCTTCTCCAAAAATGCAATTCTTAATGAGTCTGTTTTGGAAGATGGGTTTACCTCCAAAATTCTGATAGGTCCGAATTACGGTGTTTAGAGATTCAGTCTGGAAGCTGGCTTGAAAGCTCTCTTCCACTTGCCTCACCCACAGGGTATGACTAAAGAACCACCTATTCGAACACATAACTCTCTCCCTTCTAGTGAGGGAACTTGAGAAGGCTTTAGGTAAAGCTGCTTCCCATGGTGCAGCCACGCCAAGCTAAAATAAAATATTAGATTAAAATCTTGCCAGCCCAGCTAACAACTATGGAAATACTTATGTGCATTGCTCACAGAAAGATTGGGAAGTATGAATACTTGCAGTGCCAAAAAAACCCCCAAAACTAGTTTTTCCTCTGAGTCTGTGCACACAATGGTGCAACTCACTGCCCTTGCACAACAACTGTATCTGTACCACAAAGCAAACTTTATGATTCGGAGTGTATATTTTGAAACAGACTATGCAAAGTCATTCTGTGTTTGTATGTACATAGATATCACCCAGACTTTGTGTGAAAACAGCCCAGTTCAGACAATAACAGTCAACCATCTTGTAACAAACCAAGCATGTGCCCAGATGCCTTCCCTTTCAAATTTGCAATAATGCAAAATATCTAGGGTTTATTAAACCAGTTTCCCATTATCTTCAAATTGGGAAATCGCCTCTGTAGTTAAAAATCTGCAAAACCAAGTTATACGGCAAGATTGATCAGGCATCCATCAGTCTCGAGAGACTATGGTAACGTGCTCTGATGGAGCACTTGGAACAGCGTCTAGTGTGGCTGAGAAGGCCAATTTGAGAGTGATAATCCCTTCCACACTGAAGACAAACACAATGTGCCCCCCATCCAGCTCCCTGATTTTGCCGCTTTTGTGACTGCCTCTTTGCCTTGGCCTGCTGGACAAGTCTCTCTTCAAATTGGGAGAGGCCATGAAGCACTGCCTGCCTCCAGGCTGAACGCTCAGATGTCAGGGTTTCCCAGCTGATGAGATCCATTCCTAAGGCCTTCAGATCCTGCTTGCAGATATCCTTTATCGCAGCTGTGATCTCCCTCTGGGGCGATTTCCCTGCACTAATTCTCCATACAGGAAATCTACACCAGGATATGATCCTGCAATGGGAAGTTGTAGTTTAATAAATCATATAAATCATATAAATTTTGAATTGCAGAGAGTGAAAGAAGGGAGATGTGGGCATTTCTGTTCTCCTGGCCTTAATTCTTCATCTAAGTTTTGTGGAAAGTGTTGCAGATAATTGACAAGGTTGTGGACTCATCTCCGTTGTGCAGTTGGACAGATGACTAGGGATGTGACCAAGATGAGCCCCCAGCATTTTGTCATTTAGGTGTGGCAAGTTACACAAACACAATCGAACACCAATAGGATTCTGGCCAATGTTCCCTCTAATCTTCAGCCCCGCTGGGCGTGGGCTCTGCCCCTCTCATGCCCAACTTCGCTCCTCCACATGGAGTTCTGTTGCGACCAGAACCAAAGGGGTGGAAAACAATTGCTGTGGGTGTGCTGTGGTGGCAGAACCCTGCACAGAAGGGAGCAGAGTTTCATATGTGCACACAGGTGTGCACCTTAGAGGGAACATTGATTCTGGCCAATATGTTTATTGGTTTATTAAACCAAGATGGTTTTAACCAGGACTAGATTTTGTAGGGATGCAAGGATGAAACCTGAAGATAATATATCAGAAATGTTTTCTAAATTGCATAAAAGTATACTTTCTGAGCATGTACTAACTTAAGTGTACATGGTAAGATTTCTGTACAGATAACTTTCACTGTTGTACAGTTCTTTCAAACAGATTGTCTTTTTTTTAATAGGAATCTATTCATATCCCTGACCCTGTCATTTCTATAGCAATGAAGCCAGCCAACAAGGTAGGAGTCTGAGGTTGTAAAAATGGTAAATGATAAATAATTGCTAGATATCAGAGCAATACTATGATCTGGTCAGGTGTTTCAGAGGATAAATTCATTTGCACTTTCTACATCTGTTCAAGAGTAACTAAACTGCATTCTCGTACTTGGGGATTCATTTTTGTTGACTTGCTTGATGCCTTACCCAGAAGTGTTAGTATCTGTTATGTGTCTTAATCATGCATTTAACAATGTGAACACAGCCCTGAGTGAGAGACAGTAGGACTATGGCGCTCTGAACCCAGCATGTTTCATCAGTATCTAGCAGTTTATGAAAGTTGTCTTTATCTTCATATTGATGGATTTTGCAAGAAGTTCAGTTATTTGGACTGTTGACTACTAAATGATTGGAAAAATACCGATTTACCCTTGTGGATTATTTTCTCCTTTAGAATGATGTAGATAAGTTTTCAAAAGGCATTAATCGCTTCATAAGGGAAGATCCCACATTCCGAGTTCATTTTGACACTGAGAGCAAAGAGACTATTGTTTCAGGAATGGGAGAACTTCATCTGGAAATCTATGCTCAGGTAACAGTTATTATTATGTTGGTGAACTGTGCTGCTGAGTTTTACGTGGCAAAAATGTTTCATCCATTCAGGATATTCTCCTGTAGTTGTACTCACTAACTTTATGTATAACTATGGATAGTGTAAATTTGTCAGTACTGTGTAGTTGAGCTCCTGTAGTTGATGCCTATGCTAAAACCTTCTTACAGTCATAAGCTGTGATGGATCTGTTGAGGCTCAGGATTCCTCTTTCACAATTGCAGGATCTGGACAAGTGCATTAATTACGAAGGAGTATTGGCTTTGGGCGGTGGGGGGGGCAGCACCAGAAAAACCTGGAAGGGATCACTATAAATCAGAATTGACTTTATGACACACAAATATATATCATAAATTTAGATATTTGTGTGTCATCAAGTCAATTCTGACTTACTAGAGACTCTTCAGGTTTTTCTAGGCAAAGAGTGCTCGGAAGTGGTTTTACCACTCTTTTTCTTGGGGGGGGGCATACTGGGACAGTGCAGCTTGCCCAAAGCCACACACAGGCATAGTGGGGAATCAAACTCCAAACTTCTGTCTGCAGCCAGATACCCAAACTACTGAGCTACCTAGCCAACATATCTGAAGTTCATGTTAATTGCAGGGAAGAACTCACTGAATCAAAATTATAGTTCCCTCAACTGGAATCAAAAATTTGGGTTTGCATGTTTTAATGATAATAGAACATTAAAGATTAGTTTGTTGGTTTTCTTAGCTTGGCTACATGTGTCCATTTGGCAGCACATAAAAATCAATATAAATTCTGTCTTCTTTTTATTTAGCGAATGGAAAGAGAATATGACTGTCCTTGTGTTATGGGAAAGCCTAAAGTAGCATTTAGAGAGAGCATTCGTTCAGCTGTACCGTAAGTATTCCTTTTAACAGAAAACAGCTAAGGTCAAGGTTGTTTGCTTTAGTTCTTACATTGTACCTGGCACTGGACACGCTTCAGAAACTGTGCAAGCCTGTTGCATAGCCCTTGTCTGAGCTGTATGGAATTACAATATGTTAAAGTAATTGTTTAAAGAAACAGAACCATAGAAAATGTGTAGCTAATCCTGTGGTATACGTTTTGGCTGGCGGCTATTCCGTGTGACTTTTGTTCCATGTTGAGGATGCCATAGTACTTGCATATGCCAAGGAATAATTTCCTGTGGATAAAGAGTACCAGGTATAAGAAAAATGTAAACATTAATGAAGTTAGGGAATTACATTTGGCAAAAATCTGCATCTCACTATGAAGTCTGTGCTAGGTCACACATCTTTCCTTTTCTCTCGTTCCTCCACAAATATATTAATAAACTGCAATAAGATACAGGTCAGTGCTCCGACTGAAGCATTATGCCCCCAACCAGAATTTTGTTTAATCCTGCATTTTTACTAAATGTGTTTAATGTTTTCTGGTTTGTCCCTGCCATCCTAAAAAATCTTCTACAATTATCCTCTATTCTTCTCTGATGGCAGCAGGCATTAGCAAATCACTTTCAAAGACAGATTTGCAGCTTTCTGCACCAGAGCTGGAGTGTTAGGAGTTTACAAAGAAAAAAGAATATAGAGATTCTTAGGAAACTTAATTCTGTTGCTTCCCCTTGGCTTTCGAATGATGGCTAAGTGGTTGAGTTTGTGCTTTCTTTGCATGCAGTAAGTCCCCGATTCAGTGTCCAGCTCCTCTAAGTACAACTTCTCCTGCCTGAACCCCTACCGCGTTTTCCTGAAAATAAGACATGGTCTTATATTAATTTTTGCTCCAAAAAACCCATTAGGGCTTATTTTCAGGGGATGTTTTATTTTTTTCATGTACAACAATCTACATTTATTCAAAGACAGTCATGTCAGCTTCTTCTGGTTGCTGCACAATGGTGGAGGGCAGTGTTTCACTTAACTGGGGCTTATTTTTGGGCTAGGGCTTATATTATGAGCATCCTGAAAAATCATACTAGGGATTATTTTCAGGTTGGGTCTTATTTTCAGGGAAACGGGGTAGGACTCCTGAAAAACAACCATCTGCCTGAAACCCTGGGGAACCAGTGACAATCAGTTGAGGTAACAGTATTGGACTGATGGTCTGGCCAGTATAAGGCAGCTTCTTAAGTTCTGGTGCTTTTTCTGTTCTTCTGAGTCAAGGATTGTGTATAGCATTGCAATCAAGGCTTGAACAAAACAGAATACTTCCTTGGCGTACAGGCAAGGTTCCCTCTAAGGCCCGTACCCATGCGGCCCATCTCCCTCTGTGCAGCTTTCCTCGTTCTTTTTTTAGTGATAGTTTTTAGTCCCTTTGGTTACAATTGTGACAAAACCGGGCGGAGTTGCGTATGTGCGTGAGAGAGGCTGAAAATTAGAGGGCACGCTGAGTACAGCTGTTAGAATCACCCACCAACATGGCCATTGTCTATATTAGTTATGGGATTCTGAGATGTAATCTTAGAAAGTAAATGTTCCAAGCTCTAGTTATAACCTGCCTCTGGCAAACATCTGTTTTCATGACTGGCTCAATCCTATGCTTTGCTGAGGAGCAGGCATGTCTACTTCTTAGCAGAGCCTATAATGCTATTCACAGTCCTACGACACTTGAGTGCTTCCTCTTCTCCTACCATTGTCTTGTTGCGAAAGGGGCTCTTCTAGAATTTGATGGTTACTTGTTCTGCCTGCCTGCCCGCCTGCCCCCGACACATTTAGAAATATTTTACATTATACTTGCCTGAGATACAAAATCATGGATTAGGACCACAAACAAAAATTCAAGGTAATCATCATTTCTTTTCTGAAAGTAAAAAAAGTTACTTTAATTAGTAGAGCTATTTAATTTCAAAATTATTTAATGAGAATGAAAAGCTAGAGGACCGAATAAACTAGATCTAAATTTTATTTTTCCATTTGAACTATATAAAATCTGAGAGACAACATCCCAAAGTTTAAGCTGTGTGCGTTGCTTTCTTCTGTTTCCTCATTTAAAAAACAACACACACCAACTACTAATAACTATAATATCTTCACAAGCAATTTTTCTTCTTCTTTGAACAGTTCAACAGGATTAGAACGGAGTCATCTTTTATTGTGTCTTTAATATTAACTCATTATGGAGACTTCTTGCTTGGCCGCTGTTCCTTTGGGTTTTTAGTTATCTCAGATCCTTTAAGACTTAGTCAGAACTTAGAATTTACTAACTAAAGACTTTTGAAAGACCACATATTGTAGGAAACATCTTCTCTTCCTTTATGTATTTCATACAAAAGTTTAGGAACATCAAATGATAAAATTTTGTGTTTGCCATTTGTAATAATTGTTTTTTCAATATTCAGGGTTTTATTTTAATCCCCTAAAGTAATTGTTAACCAAAACAAATGTCATTCTCCAGAAGGATTGTGGATGATGGTCCTAGCAATAATAGTAATAAGATAAAGAATAAGAATTGTAATTTGCACTACCTAACTGAAATTGTTCCAAAGCAGCTGTGAATACCATGGCATTTTTGCTTAGTGTTATACGACACTGACCATGTAGATCTAGGCAGATGCAAATTAGCGCAGCTGTACCTAACGAGGGTCTGGTCCCTGGGTCCAGACCGTCCACTCACACATCCTGCTGCGGTGTTGATCCCGCTTGTGGGAAGATTAGGGAGTGGGAGGTGGATCTCCCTGCACAGTTGCTGAGTGGCCAGCTGAGCAGAGAGAAAGAGGCTTCCTAGTGCCATTGGAAGGACAAGCCTGATCAGCACCGCAGCAGGACGCCTGAATGGACAGTCCAGATCCCAGGTAGTTGGGACCCTTGTTAGGTCCAGCTGCGCAGGGGTATTCATATACAGTGGTGCCCCGCATAGTGACGTTAATCCATTCCAGGATTAGGAAACATTGCAATGCGATCACTTTTGCGATCGCAAAATCCGCATCGCTATGCGGATTTGTCGTTAAACAGGGCACTCGTTATACGAGGCACCACTGTACAAATATCCCCATCTCTAACGCACATTCATTACCATATTTTTCGCTTTATAAGATGCACTTCCCCCCCAAAAAAGTGGGGGGAAGTGTGTGTGTCGTATGGAGCGAAGCTAGCGATTTTGCCCCCACTGGCCCTGTGGGGGGGAGCCTCCCAAGGGTCCAAGTCTGCCTTCCAGGACCCTTGGGAGGCTCCGCCCACCCACCCCCACCCCCACGGGGCCAGCGGGGGCAAAATTGCCAGCTTCCAGGAACCTTTTGAGGCTAGGAAAACCTCAAAAGGGTCCTGGAAGCTGGCAATTTTGCCCCCACTGGCTCCGTGGGGGATGGGGGGAGCCTCCCAAGGGTCCAAGTCTGCCTTCCAGGACCCTTGGGAGGCTCCGCCCACCCACCCCCCCCCCCACGGGGCCAGCGGGGGCAAAATTGCCAGCTTCCAGGAACCTTTTGAGGCTAGGAAAACCTCAAAAGGGTCCTGGAAGGCACTCTCAGATCCCTTGGAGGCTTCCCCCACCCTCACCCCCGCTGGCCCAGCAGGCCAAAATTCCCAGATAATTTTTTTCCCTGTTTTCTTGTCCTAAAAATTTGGTGCGTCTTATGGAGCAGAAAATACGATAACAAATACTGAAGGAATTCCAAGCTCTCAATAAATAACACAATACTGAGATGTATTCCATTTTTTAAAAAATTGAAACAGTGTCTTCTCAGGCAAACTCTTATCCTAGTATAAAGCTTGGATCCCAAAACGTGTTTTCACATGCATACCCTCCACTTCAACACAAAAGAAATGAGTCAGGTTTGTAGACTGATTTTGCAATCCCAGCAATGAGTTCAGACTTTTTTGGGCAGGTATACCGGACGGTTTGAGAATATTAGGTTTAGGAGATCAGAGAAACAGGCACAGATTCGGGATTAGAGAATGCTAGACAATTTGTTGGGCTTTCTCATGAAAGCATTTCTCATAATTTGATGCTGCTTCCAGGTCTATCAAGGCAAATACAAGCAAGTATTGTGGTTAAGATTTTGTGGAGACACTTGCCAGATTTATATGCTTATATTTGGGTAGGATTGAAAACACCAAGGATAGAAAGAACGGAAACGCACAAGATAAAGATAGCAGTGATTACTTTAGCCAGTTAACATGAGGAAAGCAGTAATTGGGTAACCTTGTGCTGATGAGCTGCTTAATATATGTGATGTGATAAAAAGTGTTTCTCAGTATTTGAGCCACAAGAGCTAAAACTGAATATCCTGATTATCATAATTTTCATAATTTAGGAACCCTAGATTCATCAGGAGAGACTGGCCCAATGAGGTAACAAATGGAGTACAGTATTTGGGATGGAGGTTTATATATGCAGTGCATATGGTTGTAGGCACCTAGTAAAATGAGATACAGAGATAGCTGGTGAACTTTCAGAAGAATCATAGAAAAGTGAAGTTGGAAGGGGCCTACAAGGCCATCAAGTTCAACCCCCTGCTCAGTGCAGGAACACAATCAAAGCATATCTGTCAGGTGATTAAGTTTTTCTTGAATGCCTCCAGCCTTATTAACAGAGGCAGTGAGGACACTGGTTAGGTTGTTGCTTTTGAAGTGTTGGAATAATGACTTTTGCTCTTAGGAAAGGGTTGTGCAAGGGGCCAGAGTTCTGCCAAAACAAATGACTTTTTGGCTATACAAGACAGGAGAGAAAAACAGCTTACTAATGTATACCGTGTTTCCCTGAAAATAAGACAGAGTCTTATATTAATTTTTGTTCCAAAAAACCCATATTTTCAAGGGATGTTTTATTTTTTTCATGTACAACAATTACATTTATTCAAATGCAGTCATGTCATCGTCTTCTGGTTGCTGCACAATGGTGGAAGGTGAGGTTTTAACTGGGGCTTATTTTGGGGGTAGGGCTTATATTATGAGCATCCTGAAAAATCATATTAGGGCTTATTTTCAGGTTAGGTCTTATTTTTGGGGAAACAGGTGGTATGAGACAGTTAAATAGGTATACAGACAGATGCACATATGCATATATTAATGTACTATAGCATATATATCATATATATGATACTAGTGTGTATATCATGAATGTATGCATATATCCATATGCTAGTTTTTCTCTGAAGTACAGTGGTGCCTTGCTTAGCGATCGCTCCGTTGAGCAACGAAATCGCTTAGCGATGGGGTTTAAGCGATCGCTTTTGCGATTGCTTAGCGATGGTCCCTATGGGGAAAATTCGCTTTGTGATGATCGCAGGGAAGCGATCACCACAAAGCCCCCATTTTCGGCCAGCTGATCAGCGGTTTCAAAATGGCCGCTAGAAAAACAAAATGGCCGCCCGCTGTGTTGCCTCGCTTTAGAGGCACTGAAAATGGCTGCCCCTATGGAGGATTTTCAGTTAAGGTTAGTTTTGAAGCCCATAGAAACGCATTAATGGCATTTTAATGCGTTTCTATGGGCTTTTAAAATCCGTTTAGCGATGAAATCGCTTAGCAACGTTTTTTCCTGCATGGATTAACGTTGCTAAATGAGGCACCACTGTATTGTGTATAGCTAGACATTTACTTTGTTTGGCAAAACCAGGTCTTTCCTGAAAGTGAGTATCATTGCTTCAACATTTCCAAGACAGTAGCCTCACTACTGTGCACCAGCTGACATACTGGCTGAAATTCTATTGCACAGCTTCACATCCAGTGTGGGGTGACATCATCACAAGCAGCAAAATGCCACTGGTAAAAGGCAATTTCAGATGCACACATCTTTTACACAATGCGACAAATTATGTGCACTGTGAATCACCAAAGGAATCCTTTAATCAGTGATTTCCTGATGATGATTTCATTGCTGTGTCGCATGCAGAGCTGTGCAAAAGTTTTCAGCCACTGTTTCTATTAGCTAACTTTTTGCCTGCTGCCACAAAGTTATAGAATACACTTAGGAGGTTCAGTTCCTGTATTAGCAACTCTGTTGTGACTTTGAACGTTCATTATCTTTTCTGTATCCCATTTTGCTTGGTTCCCACCTTCACAACCTTGTTCCACCGTGTAGATAAAGCTACGAAGTAACATTATATTTCTTATTCTAGAGGAAGTAGACTGTAATCAACAAAAGCCTACCCAGGAACATTTCTTAAAAGTGCCACAATACTTTTGTTTCTTATTTTACATGCTGAAATAGCTTAACACAAACACCTCTTTGAAAATTATCTAGAGAAGTGTCTGTAGAATATAGCTCAGGACTGTTGTCACACAGATTATCTCACAAATGGCTCCTTCGTGTAGGAAAATGGAAGAATTTAAGTCATTTCAGAGTGGGGCTAACTTACCACTTGCTTGACACTTTCAACTTGTGCCATTTTGAGCCAGGTTTCTTCTGTTGAATTCTGCCACATTACGTAACTACAGGCAACCCATGCTAAACACCGAACAGGCTCCATTTCTGCAGACACATTTCCGTAACTGTCTGGAAAAAGCAACAAAGTTCACATTGAACTGGTGAAAGCCTTGAGGCAGAAAGAAGCTTTTTTAAAGATTTAGTCTTAAGCACTACACAGTAGGAGCACAGTATCTGTGGGAGATCAGTTCCAAGCCCCCCTCCCGTACGGAAGTATCGAACGCTATACATTGCATGGTCTCTGGCTCCTTTTAGTGGCCAGTTCTGCTAAATAGACCGTGGAAATATATATATGTATTTCTGAGGTTTTTTACTTAGTATTTTCAGGTAGCGGATAAATGAATCAGTGGACACTGATCCCACAGATTGGGGGGGGGGGGTTTCCTAATGTATATAAACTGGCATTTCACAAAAATTAAATGATTTACAGGTTAGTAAAATGGATACAGATGCATGAGTTTGTGTCAGTTTTGCATAATGAATGGAGATGGTTGTGCATGCATCAGTTTGCACAGCTTACATGCTCTGGTCTATGTCCAGAACTTAGATGTGTGTTTGGCACCTAGATAAAGTAGGGTGGGAAGGAGCAGGTCTAAGCAGTTTTTTTAAAAGGAGTGGGGTGGGGTAGCAATCATTGCTAAGACACCATGATTGGAGCCCTGAGGATGAACCCATGGCTGCCCCATCTAAGAAAGTCCTGCATTTATTTTTCTGGAAGCATATGAGGACACATATCTGTTTCTCCCTAAAGACAATAAGCATGCTCTGTTTAAAATGAACACAGATTCTGCAAATTCTTCCTTGCATACCATCTTTTGCACATGCAGGTTAACTGCTATGACCTTTGGGTAGTGTAGGCGGCATATAAGTTAAATAAATAAATGCAGTCTTTTAAAGTAGTTATTTTTTTCTGGCACAAATAATACCCATTTGTATAAAGCAAACTTTTATGGACTAGAAGCCCACTTCTTCTTATGCACAGAGCTTATCTGAGTTGGCAGGCGCCCACACACATGCACACACACGTGTGTAAGAAGAAGAAAAATGTTAGCAGTCATGTCCGATAAAATTAGATGCAATAAACATTTATTTATTGCACCTCATTTCCACCCCACATCACCGCAAACGTTTTACCTGCCAACTGATGATGCCATTCTCTGTGTCTAATGAAGTGGACTCTGTTCTGTTGAAGTATATCCCATAATAAAATAGTTGTTAAGATAGTAAAACACTCTTGTGTTGAAATAATATTGCAACATAGCCCTGAATATGGTTTGAGACTTGCCTAGCAAGCTGTAATTGCTTAGAAATTGTTAGCTGTTAGCAATGGCTTCCTTTATCATTTCAAACCATCTAGTGATGAGCTAAAACTGATACAATAATAACTAATAACTGGTCTTTGTGCCCTTCTGGTGTAGTAAACTCAGATGCTTAATGCTTCCAGAAGTGGAGGACCATAGAGAAACAAGGGGTGGGACTTTATCAGTGAACGTGGGAAACACTAGTATTTTTTTCAAAAGGGAGAAAAGCATAAAGGGATTAAACAGTCTTGCATATGAGTTGGGAGAGACATCTGGCTGGAACCCAGAACACGTCCCATTTGTGATCATTTGAACAGATATTAAGTGTAACATACAGTAACAGAAAACTTCATCATTTTTTTTAACCTGGAATATTTTGTGCCTCTAGTGGTTCAGACAAATTCTTGATCCTGCTGTAGAATTTGTTATCTGCTTGCTCTGTGTTAGTTCCAAACTCTCCTTCCACCGTATAATGCACCTCAGGAGCAACGTGTGGGTCTCCATGATGATAAAGAATTTCAGCTGTGCAGTTTACAGGGCTGCCCTGTTGCAGAAATAATTGGACCAGTTTAAAACTTCAGTTCAAGATGCTTATATTTTCTAATGAGAAATCCATTTTACTTCCCTTTTGCTTACTGTGAGCCTGATATTACCAATATAAGGTGAATCACCATTCTCACTGCCACACATTTCCCTTACCCAAATCCTAACTTCATATATCATCCTTACCATTTTCTTTGCATGATATAGCATAAGTGTGAGATAGATTAAGCTGAGTGAGTCACTGGCTCACTTGGTATTTGAACCTAAACTTCTCAAGCCTAGCCACTAGATCTCACTAACTTTTGTGCCTGGGTGTTACACAGATTGTACTATAGTATTCTCCTGCTGTGGAATTATCCTATGGTGGTTCTTCAAGCGGCAGGGCTGCATGCACTGAGATGGCATGTATCAAAGCCATTTATTTAGAAATAACAGGAGCTTTTTTGTAATACCACAGCTTGCATATCCTGTCTAAGGATCATCATTACCAAGAGCTCACAGCTCCATTTTTTCCAAGGTGAATGTTTGAAATTGACATGTACTGTATAGGTAAAATAAGATGTCTGTTTTAGAAAGAAGTTTAAAATCTACTCTATTTGAAAAACATTATTGATGATCATGAATTCTGGGCAAGTGAAATTACTACATTCTGTCTTAAATCTCATTTGTAGTCCCAACAAGAATAGACCTGCTGAATCAGGTGTTGAATGGCGGCAAGTCAAACACTTGCATAAGTTATTGATTCCCTAGTATACTCTAGTTGGAAGAACCAGCTGAATACTGAACTCTGTTTATAGTACAAGATTCATAGCAGTAAGTCATCAAATTATGACCATGCCTGTATGAAACAGCTGCAGCCCCACAGATTTTCATCAGACTCAACTTCTATAATCCAAATTGTTAGAATTAGATGTACAGACAGAGGACTGCCCTGATTCTCTTCTATACAATATGATACTTCAACACCACCCACCCCACTCCCCACAATATATTAAGTGTATAGATTGAACACATATATTCATTCAGATGCTGCAAGGACTTTTGATAAAATCAAATTATATTCTGAATGCTTTCTTTAGAGCCAACTCTTCCTTCACTTTGATTGGTCTTGTAGATTTTATCCAAATAAGATCATAG